GTGCTGGCACCACTTCCCAATAGCAATGTTCCAGAAATACAGACACTGTAATCATAATGAGACAGTCTGTTAGAGTATTTAGAGACTCTACTGATATATACATACACCCCACATTCGTAGTCAGATTGCTTGAAGTGATAATGTGGGTGCTGGATACATAGTGAGACTGTCCCGCATCAATACATAGCGATGGCATTCCAGGTAAGATTACGCCTATCACTTCTCAATCACACACATTCCAAATTTTTTGTTAAATGTGTTGACACTGCATTCCTAGTGAAAGTGTGAAGATATCCTATGGGTTGTTGCCCTGCGTAGATTTGTAGAAGGTTATCAACGTTGCAGAGGTGTTTGCTGCTGCCATCATCAGTGTGATCTTCATACTCACCACCATCAGAATCTCAGTCCTACATTCACAGGTTATGTTTTCATTTGATTCAACAGACCACCATCATAGAATAATTTTTCAAGAGGTATATGGAAAGGAATATTTTCTGTCTGTACTAAATTGACATATACAAAGGCTACGAAGCAGACAAACTAAAGATTTGAAATTCTTTACAAAAAATGTTTCAGATTAGATAAATTCAAGTTCATGTAAAGTTATTTTCAACGTCAGTAGTCTCAGTTGCTGTGTAGTATAATATTGTATAAGACGAAAAATTAAATCGGAATGAAGGGTTTGGTTACCAAGGTGCAGTACCAGAAAATCAGTAGCGCAGATAACTAGTAAACTGTGCTGTAACTCAGTAAAGTTACATGCACACAATACCTCCTCGCATATCCTGTTGCCTGGATACGGAGAAAGAAATTAAAAATGGAGTCTTTCTACTTATAGCCATGTAATTTTGGCTTCAGAGGTAGTATGTAGTAGTAGTAGTAGTAGGTGTGTATTGAATTGTCAGGCAAATGTGGTTCTTGCTGAAGGTAAGTCAAAGGAGGTGTGACGTGTGATGTTTGTGATTGGTGGTTCCATTGGGAATGTGCCAATATCACTAAGAGTGATGTAGATGCTGACAAGCCTTGGTATTGTATGGTGTGCCAGCAAGTTAGGAAGTCTAAGGTGCAGAAACAAACCACGACACATATTACTGCATACACTTACTTGACTCCATGGAATGAAGTCCTTCTTGAATAGGTAACACATTTGTATGCTTAGCTTGTTGAAAAACCACTCAAAATTGATGAAGCACTAATGTTCATTACCCTATCTGCAACACCCAGTCTGATGGAAGCCTGCAAGCATTTCTGAAGCACTTACTCCCTTCCATGAGAACCTCAAATTCTATCATCAAAAAATTCTTCTAGAATGCCTTAAACAGTGTGATTGTTTGAAATGATGTGTAATCCTGTCAACCTCTACATCCTTAATTTGATGACCTATATAATAAATAAAGTTTACTAATTATGAATCTCCTATTTATGGTAATTTTTGCACTCTTCTATTGTACTTTGATTTGTTTCAGATACTACATGTTTTGGGTAAAAATGTATTCAGTCCGAACTAGCAAAGAATTCTGTCAAAAGTGTTATCAGTTACAAATGTGCTTGAATTCACTTCATATGTACTTTTTAATGATGCTATGCTTATGGAAGGCCTTT